ATAAAAGCCCTATATGAAAGACCCATAGGTAATATCATCCTCAATGGGGAAAAGATGAGAGCTTTTGCCTTAAGGTTAGGAACAAGAAAGGGATGTCCACTCTCACCACTGTTAATCAACATAGTGTTGGAAGTTCTAGCCTCAGCAATCAGAAAACACAGAACAGAACAGAAATAAAAGGCATCCAAATTGGCAAAGAGGAAGTCAAATTTTCACTCTTTGCAGATGACATGGTACTCTATGTGGACAACTCAAAGACTCTACCAAAAAAACAAAAACAAAAACAAAAAAAAACCTATTAGAACTTATCCATGAATTCAGCAAAGTCACAAGATATAAAATCAGTGTACAGAAACTGGCTGCATTTCTACTCATCAATAATGAAGCAGCAGAAAGAGAAATCAAGGAATCAATCCCATTTATAATTGCACCAAAACCCATAAAATACCAGGAATAAACATAACCAAAGAGGTGAAAAATTTATACACTGAAAACTTATAGAAATAAGTTGAAGAAGACACAAAAAATAGAAAAACATGTCATGCTCATGGATTTGAAAAACAAATGTTAGAATGTCTACATTTTCACTGCAATCTCTATTAAAATAACACCAGCATTCTTCACAGGGCTAGAACAAACAATCCTAAAACTTGTATGGAACCACAAAAGACCCCAGAGAGCCAAAACAATCATGAAAAAGAAAATCAAACCTGGAGGTATCACAATTCTGGATTTCAAGTTGTAATGATCAAGACAGTATGATACTGGCACAAAAATAGACACATAAATCAGACAAATTGATCACATATATCAACAGATCAGAATAGAGAACCCAGAAATGGACCCATGAACATATAGCCAACTAATCTTATCAAAGCTGTAAAGAATACCCAATGGAAAAAGACTGTCTTTTCAGCAAATGATGTTGGGAAAACTAGACAGCAACATGCAGAAAAACATTTTTACACCATATGGAAAAATAAACTCAAAATGGGTGAAAGACCAATTTGTAAGACAGGAAGCTATCAAAATCCTAGAGGAAAAAACAGGCAACAACCTCTTTGAGCTCAGCTGCAGTAACTTCTTACTAGATATGTTTCCGGAGGCAAGGGAAATACAAGCAAAAATTAACTATTGAGACCTCATTAAGATAAAAAGCTTCTGCACCGTAAAAGAAACAGTCAGCAAAATCAAAATGCAAACTACAGAATGGGAGAAGATATTTGCAAATGACATATCAGATCAAGAGCTAGTATCCAAAATCTATAAAGAACTTATCAAACTCAACACCCAAAAAGCAAATAATGCAGTGAAGAAATGGGCAAAAGACATGAATAGAAACTTTTTCAAAGAGGACATCCAGGTGGCTAAGAAACACATGAAAAAATGCTTAATATACTCATCATCTGGGAAATACAAATCAAAACACCATGAGGTAGTACCTCACACCTATCAGAATGGCTAAAATTAACAACTGTGGCAACAACAGATGTTGCTGAGGATGCGGAGAAAGAGAAACACTTTTCCACTGCTGATGGGAATGCAAACTGGTGCAGCCACTCAGCAAAAGCGTATGGAGGTTCCTCGAAAAACTAAAAATAGAACTACTCTACAACACAGCAATTGCACTACTAGGTATTTATTCAAAGGATACAGGATACTTCAATACAGTGTTGTTTCGAAGGGACATATGCTCCCCAATGTTTACAGCAGCACTACTGATAATAGCCAAAGTACGGAAAAAGCCCACATGTCCATTAACTGAAGAATGGATAAAGAAGATGTAATATATATAATAGAATATCACTTAGCAATTAAAAAGGATGAAATCTTGCCATTTGCTAACACGTGGTTGGAACTAGAGGGTATTATGTTAAGTGAAATGTCAGACTGAAAGACAAATATCTTATGATTTCACTCATACATGGGATTTAAGATACAAAAAAGATGGGAACCAAAAATAATATTTAAACAGAGAGGGAGACAAATCATGAGACTCTTAAATAAAGAGAAAAAACTAAGGGTTGCTGGAGAAGTGTTGGGTGGGGGGAAGGTCTAGATGGGCAAAGGGCATTAAAGAGGACACTTGTTGGGATGAGCACTGGTTTTTACATATAAACAATGAATCACTAAACTATTCCTGAAATCATTATTACACTATATGTTAACCAACTTGGATTTAAATTTAAAAAGATAAATAAATGAAATGAAATGAATCTGAAAAAAAAGATTCAGTTCCAGTATTACAAGCTGGGCAAACAAGGATAGATTGAGAGACATGAAAAGGACAGATTTATAAAAAAGAAAAAGAAAAAAAAAAGAAAGAAAAAAACCCCCACAAAAACGAAAAACAAAGATTCTTTCTCTTCCTCTCTGCCCCTCCCCCACTTTTCTCACAGGCATATGCTCTCCCTCCCTCTTATCTCACTCTTAAGAAAAATAAATAAATAAAAATAAAAAAACTCATGTTTGACCACAGGGGTCAATAAGCAAAAGCTAGTGAATGATTCACCTTAAATCAATTAAAAATCTGAATGAAAGAATGAACTTAATTCAAATTCATTTTTCTCATGATCACTGATGAAAAGAGAGAATATTTGTGGTGTTTTACTGTTTTATGATTAAAAACACACTTATAATTTTGACTTTTCAGAAAATAAAAGTATGAAAACTTTATTTCATTAAAACTGTTATTTGGGTATATTACACAAATGAACAGTATATATTAAGGTAGCAACATTAGTTAGTAAGGTGTTTGTTGCTTTGGGTAGATTATACAACTTATATTAAATAAGCAAAAAGTTGAAAACCAATAAAACACCTCAAAGTTGTTTTTCTTTAAATATTTAGACCTATAGAAATGCATATGTATGGCAACTTGCTATATTAAAATTGGTGGCAACAAGTATTATCTTTTGTTCAGGTTATCATAATTATTAATGTGCTTTTGCTGAAGTATATTAAAGGACAAAACATTATATAAAACCTTAAAAATTCTCTTAAAAGAGAATTCAGTTGTTAAACTTACAAGTTGAGAAGTATAGTATACAAAAAATGTATTTTTGTGTTTCTGTTTTTCGATTACTCTGCCCTATAAGACTTGGCATATTATATTAAGTATGATAGCAAAACTATATGTTATGTTCCTAACCTGTGTAAATCAACCATATGTTTGATTGTTGTGTTTTTGTTTATGTTTTTCATTTTCTAATATATAAGTTTTTGTGTAAATGAACTACAATTTCTTGCAGAATCTCTCCCCATTTCCATTCGTAGTGCAGGCTTCCCAACTGAGATACAAGTGTAGTAAGTCAGTGATATAAATCATTACAAAAATAATTAAGTCCTAACTGAGGGAGTTAAAAACTTTAAAAATGTCTTCAGAAGACAATAAGTCAGAATCTGAAACATATTAAAGAGATTCAATCCTCCAATATTGCTTAACATGCACATTTAGAAATCAGAATAAGAGAAGAAATTTCATACATGCAGATGAGCACTTGCGAACAACTCACAAAATAAATGCTATTTAGTCTGAAAAGCCTTGTGATTTGGGAACCAATCTACTAGATAGATGCCAAATTAGCTGATAATTGCCCTAGGCTGAAACTAGCCATACTGTCTGGTACTGATAAGTACTTGAAAAATAACATTTTCGTAATTGCGTGAATCTCTATTAAATGAAATAAACATGTAAAAATCATAGAAACACCAAAAACCAAACATATTGCTAATGCAAATTACTCCTTTGTTAGAGAATAATATCTTTTTTTTAACATTGCTTAAAGCAATTCAATTGAAAAGCTAAATCCACAATTATACTGAATGTTATGCTTGGATAATGTCTCCATTCACATAGCCCATACTTTGCCCACACATGGATGCTAAATTGTGGCAGTGTGTGTGGGTAAAGGAGTTTATAAGATAAATTATTGTTAATTCTTGGCACCCAGAAAAATAATTGGTTTTGCTAAGCATCAGACTAAAATCATTTGTAGTGGCATCTGTCCACACTCCTACTAAAGATTCAGTCTTCCTCAAGGTACTTGTAAAGTCAAATTTCAGACAGCCTTTCTATGATATATTTTGTTCTTATTACTATGAAAATGTGTACAGACATAATTCTATTGCCTTCAGTTTCTGGTAAATTTCTCAGAAATACAAACTTGTCACTTTAGGTGATTATTAGTCACCTATAGAATATATTATGGATATATATTTGAAAAGGAGAGAAGGGAAAATGAATTGTAAGTTTTATAGTTTACAAAAGTGCTCATAATTTCTACTACTGTATAGCTATATTTTTCTCATGCGACTTCACGGTACAATGCCAGTGCCTCACTTTTTGTATAACCTTCTTTTAAGTCAAATAATTGATTTGAAATTAAAAGAATACATGTAAGCTAATTTATTTAAAAATAAAACCATGTAGCTATCAGCAGATAGATTACCTTATATACAGAAGTTACCATTTTTAAAATATCCATGAACATATAAATATTTATGAACATACCATTGGGGTGTAGGGAAACAGCAACTTTCCTTGTTTGGGTGGGATCAGAGATACTACATAGCATGTTTCATTAACATAAGAAGTCAAGTTAGTTTGAAACTTTAACTTTGAAAACCAAAATAATATTAAGCTACATTATCTCTATGGCTGTAAAATGTTACGATGTAACAAAGATGGAATTATAGACAGTCTAACAGCAAAGTTGAGATTTAAGTTCAGTTATTGTCAGAGTCAAATAATGGTGCTCCCTTAGTGAGGTTCTTTGAACTTTAAAAAAAACCTCACAATTTTTAATGATTACAAGTTTGTAAGATTGATAGCATCGGAAAATGCTTCTTGTTCTCAATATCACCACTCTTACTTTTCTACAAGGAAATCCTATTATCCCACATTTAATAACTCAATATATGGCACTGATTCTCCTCAGTAAATCATTAAAAATGAAAAGCATCCAATAACAGAATTAGATTCCTGTATTCAATCTTACTTCGGTTTCCAAGTTGTCCAGAAGTTAACCTCTGATTGTTTTCCAGTGCTATTATCTGCTGCTATCTATGAAAAAGATATTGATAGTCAAGATGGGGTATGAGGAAGATGAGATGGAACTTTAGTTTTTTAATTCGTTGTGAAGGTAAGAGATAAGAGATTAGGCATTTTGTTATGACTTTAATAACTAACAAGCTTTTTCACTCCAGTGATTCTTTCACAGTGGTAATTCTATGGGTAGGAATGAAAAAAGGAAGGGACAAATATAGAATCACCTGTCAAGCTTTTAATGTATTCATGCCTATGTGTCTGCCAGATTACCAAATCCAGATCCTCTGTGTACAAGAGACTATGCACTTCTATCTCCTATCATGATTATACATTAAGTCTCTCTAATCTCTTTTTAGTTATGTCAGTTTCTGCTTTTTATATCTTGAAGCTATATTATTAGACAAACACATTCTTATTAAATACTTCCAAATGATCACCCATTTATCATTAACTATATCCTTCTTTATTTCTTGCATTAAAATTTATCTTCTCTGATATGAGTGTATTTACATCAGCTTGCTTTTGGTTTAGAGTTTGTATGATGTATCTATTTCCAAAATTATAACTTCTAATTTTTAGCAGTTCTTTAGCCTATATTTAAGATGTTTCTTTTATAAACAACATTTATAGATTTAAAGAAAAAAAAATGTCTTTCAGTCAAGCCTGAGAATTCTTAGTCTCACAATTGGAATACTTAGTTCATTTACATTTTTAAATTTTAATTACTGATATTTGAGTTTATAATGACCACCTCATAAACTGTTTCCTATTTACCTGTTTTCTGTTAATTGTGTTCTATTTTGTCTTCTTTTTAAATAATCAAATGTTTGTCATTATTATATTTACCTTCAATAGATGTAAATTACTTTATTATTTTAGTATATACCCAAGAATATACAATAAGCATATTTAAACTGTTATAGTTAAATATACATTAGTACTTTTAACAACTAATAGAAATATTAACATAATAGAACACTTTAACTCTAGTTACCTCTTTTTGTATACTGTTGTCATTTTTCCTCTACGTAGACTTGTATCATATAAGCTTAAGACCCATTTAGATTTACCTAAAAACATTTTCCATTACTTTTTATTCTGCCTTAAATTTTTGTTTTGTTGTTGGAAAGAATTTTCCTTCTCTCAAAAAATTTTCTTTTTTTTTTTAAAGTTTATTCATTGAGAGAGAGAGAGAGAGCACAGAGGAGGGGCAGAGAGCAAGGGAGAGAGAGAATCCCAAGCAGGCTCTGCACTGTGCAGAGCCTTACGTGGGGCCCAATCTCACAAACCATGAGATTGTGACCTGAGCCAAAATCAAGAGTCAGACACTTAACGGACTGAGCCATCATTTGGTTTTTGTACTGAGATATTGCTATGACAAACAGGTGAGGGAAAAAAAATATCTTTAAATCATATTCACTTCTGAATTCTAGCTTAGGAGTTGCCTCGCCTGAAAGGGAAGGTTGTATTCTCCTTTTGCTAGGAAGTATTCTCAGGAAGAACACTTGACAAGGAACAAATTAAAAACAGACTGGCAGAGGGAGAAGTTAAACTGCATTACAGCTGTTAGAACTACCTCAGTAAATCCAACAGTGGCTCTAGTCCTGAAATGGCGATTACAGTCATCACTAATTGAAGCAAGTGAAGTTAATACTTGCTTACCCATACCAACCAGTTATTGGATATGGGCTGTTCCTGGTGAGGTAGGATAAACTTGGAAATATATAGATTCTCCCAATTCAAACAAAGGAGAAACAAATATAAATAAATTAACCCTGTCCTGTGTGGGTTATTGAAATTTTAATCAATTCTCACAATACCTTTGTAGAAAACATTTTAATAGCCATAAAGAAGTGTTCTTTTTGGACCCTTAGATCAGGGGAGTGAAAACACTCCCAAATGCCATTAAGACATGAGTTCTTGAATCTTACTTAAACTCTTTTTTAGCTTGCCTCTCTCTTCAGCCATGCACCTGTGAACTGGCTGTCTTTACATTTAGCATTTTGTTCCAGTTAACTTTGTCAAAATAATGTCATTAAAAACAATAAAATATTTGTGGGTACAACAATGAAAGCATTTATTCTTACACAGCTGCAAGCCTGCTAGATTTTGTCTGTTGTAGGCCACATTTGGTTGCAAGGCTTTCTTCTTGGGAAAGTTGATTGTTAGGCTAAGGTAGCTCTGCTTCCATGTCTCTTCTCTTTTCTGGACTAGTTGGCTGGCTGTCGGGGACATGTTATTTTCACAATGACGGTGGAATTGTAAGAGAGCATACAGAAATGTACATGACGTTTTAAATCTGATGTTCAGAACTGCCTACTGATGCAAGTCACATGGCCAGAACAAAGTTAAAGAGTGAGAAGTTAAGCCCCATCTTTTCGATGGGAAGAAGTGTAAAGTAATACCATAACAAAAGTTGTGGATTTGGGGAGGATTAAAGAATGGAGATCAATAGTAAATCTACATTTTCCTTCCATGCCTCTGCAGTTTTTATTTAGCTCATCTACTTGAAGAGGCTGGAGCTATTTCATTGCTCAGGCAACAAATGATATCTTGGGTCTCTTTATTTTTATATTTTCAGTGAATCAGAGAAATTTGTCATATAGTCCATATTCTATGAAACTTTCAGTGGCTTATTTTAATATAATATTTCTTTAGTTTGTCCAGCTGAATAAGGAAGATAACTCTGACAAAGAAGCTAAAAATATAAGAAAGATACAGTAAAATTTTATATTGGGTTTAAACTAGAAGTAATGCCATGTGTTTTTAATCTGTGACAAAGACACAGTAAATTTTGGAAAGTAAAATTAACCCTATTTAAAATTAGGAGTATTTTTCTTCTGCATCTCCTTTTAAAGAGCAATCCAATGTAAGTGCATAATTTGTGTTACTTTTAAATAATGATATTATGACATTTAACTAAAGTGCTTATTTCAAGTTTTATTGCTGAAATTATATTTGGAGATCAAGACCCTCAAGGGGACCTTCGAGGCCTGTTTTATGGCCTTCTATTCCAACATAGATCTGCAGTAGCTAACATGACTTCCTACACACAGGAAAATCTCTGTATAGTTGTGGTGGTATGGAAGACAATAAAGAGAATATGCACACATATGTGCACCCACAGTATTGATGCCGTGTTCAAGAATTTTAAATGAATTAAGAGCATATTAGATACTATTCAGCATTTAAAATGAAAATCAACTGATATGCATGGAAAACATGCATTCTCATTTCAATAGCAGCACTTTTTAGAAACTAAATATATGATTAGGAAAGACCATGAAAGAGCATGATGAGAATTTATTCTTACTGGAGGAACAAAGAAAGGCAAATTATTAAGGATGTTCATAGACAACATATTTTTTAAATATTCCCAGTACTTAGAAATAATTATCAATTAATATCATAAACATATAACTATAAGGAAATAAGAAAAATTTTGCAAATCAGTTTAAATTTTTAATGACTTTAGACTGTATATAGTATGTTTCTACTAATTTTACCACACATAACCATCTTCTACCTATAAATATATTTTGAAAAAGAAACGCAAATCTGAAGGCATCACAATTCTGACTTCAAGCTGTATTACAAAGCTATAGTCATCAAAACAGTATGGTACTAGCATAAAAACAGACACACTGATCAAATTGGTAGTATTAACCTGGGTGACAGTCCAGACAAATTAATCCAGATCTAACTGGAACTGTTTTTTAATCTCTACCCAAGGAATGTACATTTTATGTGAGGGAAAAATAATCATTTGCCACCTCAAGTGATTCCATTTACTGTTTGGAATGCTATAGATATTACTTCTAACTTGAAAACAACAAAGAAAGAGTCTTAATACACACTGCCACATTTCTAAGTGAATAAATTGAATAAAACATTGAAGATTCTGAATTTAGAGTATATCTACAATATATCATTTTGCAATTTATACAAAATTTGTGATGTAATATTATTGTTTTTTTATAATGATGAAATTATTATCAGAGAGGAAAACATTGAGAATCAAACTAAATATTCCAGATTCATACACCTGGTAAGAGTAACAGTCTGAGCTCTAACTCACGTGTATTTTAAGCCTGATTCCATGATCTGAATAATGTACTCCATAACATCCATAAAAGGATACATGTTTGGATAGGGGAAAAAAATCTTAATTAAATGCTTGTATAGTAAGCCTTTTAAATTGATTTCATTTTCACAACAAACCTTCCAGGACTGGTCCTTATTTCTTCTTCTAGATTCAGGAATCTGGAAGATATTAAGGACTTTGTCCAGCTAGGCTCATAGCACAGCCACGTAATGAACACAGGTTTCCTAGCCACAAGGGGTCTGTATTTTCCATTATCATGTGCTTCTTATCATTTTTTTATTTATAACATGGAAACTACATATCTTTTTCAAATTAGAGACAAATCTGGTAGCTGGCACTTTAAAAGAAGATTTTTTTTTTAAAGCAACATTCCTAACCTCCAGAAAGTTGGAATCAGAGTGTATAATGGAAAAGTCTTTGGGATGCAAGAGGTATGATTTAGCGGATATAATCATCCACTTCTTGTAGGACACTTTGTTTCCAGTTCAGTGCTCTCATAAATAAATCTGCTACCCTGAACATTAGGCACAAGTTTTTTTTTAATGGACGCAGGACTTCATTTCTGTGACATAAATGTCCAGGATTATAATATCTGGGTCATATGGTAAATTATATATTTACTTTTTAAGAAACTGCCAAACATTTTTTTAGAGTGACCATACTATTTTACCTGTCTCACCAGCAATGTATGAGTGGTTGGCTTCTCCACATTGTCAGCAGCATTTGGTACTGCCACTATTTTTTATTTCAAGGTGTTCTAAAACATATGAAGTGGTCTTAATTTGTATTTTCTGAATGGTTAGTGATGTTGAACATTTTTCATATGGTGATTTGCTTTCTTGTATCCTAATTAGTGAAATATCTGTTTGTACCTTTGAC